CTAAAAAACGAAAACAAGAAAAAATGGAATCCATGGCCAGATAAGTTTGGGGCACAGTGCAATACCGTTCCCTTTTGGAGATCACGAGGCAGATAAGAAATATTGTAGTAGCCAAGAAGTTCCCAGCCTTTTTGATCTCAGGAACACTTTTCAGGGAGTACTTACTAACACGGTGTGGAATTAGCTTGTGGAAATTCTGCTCTGAACGGTGCCATAGAACCTGGCAAATGATCACATGCTGACAGAGCCGCACCAGACTTCCACGAGCCCAAATTCAGACCCCCGTTTACCATACTTGTTTTGGTCCAGCACAGATGTGCTGAACTCAGCCAGCTTCATGGCACCTTCCCTTGTTCTTCTTGGTCTATGCCCTGTCTTCTCTGAACCACAGCCCAACATTCTATGGAGCTGGCGCCCTCCCCTTTTGAGCCACAAGTGCCACCCTCAGCTGGTAGTTCTAAAACAGAGTTAGATTTCAGTACAAAGAAATTCTAGCATTCACCTAAGAAGATGTTAGACAGATTTCTAGTATCTGTGAGGCTTATTTCCCTAGCTTTATGAAACTGGGCCTACATCCATCCTTCTTTCATGGCAGAGATCATAGTGGTGAAAATCAAACATGTGTAGAAGCAATGGCATGCACATCTGTCCCAGGCCACATGTTGGGTCCTTCTTGGGCTTCTCACTTCTTGCTGTTGAGTAGCAGCCCCTGTCCCATCATTACTCAATTGATTAATCTCATCAAATTAAGTAAGGCTTATCTCAGGGATTCTCAGCCCATGCTCCTCACGGGGTCTCGCACTCTTCATTCTGTGGACCTCTACCAGTCAATAAGAGCTTAGGACATTTTGCCTTGGTAGTTTGTATTATAAAAGCAATGACTATGCTAACTAGGCCTTCCTAACCCTTTCTCCTCCTTCCTAGCAGAGCCCCACCCTGCCAGGAGAACTCTAGACTTTTATGTCCTACTTGTTCTTACAGCACATTTGCATTGGCAGGCCAAATCTTTGCCAAAGTGTTCACTTCTTCTAATTCCTTGAGAAGGAGCCTCAAGATGGAATCCTGAGATGGACTCAAGGGCAACGATGGACTTTTTTCTTGACTCTAATCCTTCAAATCAAGGTGGCAGTTAAAAATAGTAAGAAGAGAAAGAAATAAGTCTTTATGCCAAGACCTTTAGTGGAAGAGTACATTAGAGCCCCCACTTCTCAGGACAGTTTGGGAGTATCTATAAACTTTTGTGTTATTGTTGTTGTTGAGACAGAGTCTCACTCTCTTGCCCAGGCTAAAAGGCTGTGGCATCAGCCTAGCTCACAGCAACCTCAAACTCCTGGGTTTACACAATACTCCTGCCTTAGCCTCCTGAGTAGCTGGCACTACAGGTGCTCACCACAACACCTGGCTAAATTTTCAATTTTTTCTTTTATTTTACTGAGACAGAGTCTTAGTTTGTCACCCTCAGTAGAGTGCTGTGGCATCATAGCTCACAGCAACCTCAAACTCTTGGGCTCAAGCAATTCTCTTGCCTCAGCCTCCTTAGTAGCTGGGACTATAGGCCATGATGCCTGGCTAATCAATTTTTGTTTAGTAGAGGTAGGGTCTCACTATTAGTAGAGGTAGGGTCTCACTATTTAGTAGAGATAGGGTCTCTTGAACTCCTGAGCTTAAGGGATCTTTTTGCCTTGGCCTCCCAGATCCCAGAGTGCTAGAATGACAGGAATGAATCACCATGCCTGGCCTAGGCCTAGTGTTAGCATTTTTTTTAGGAAGTATTATTTAAAATGACAATAGAAAACAGAACAATGTTGACTTTCTCATGGACAAGTCATAGGTCTGAGTTTCTCAAACTAGTATCTTAAATGAGGAATAAATGAGTTTCAGAAACAAGCGTTTTTACTAACCACTGATTTCACCGTCTTCCCTTTATGAAGGTATTTGCTGAGAAAGTAAAGCTGTTTGTGACTTTTGTTAACTTTTGATTCTGTCAACACTACCACTAAAGCGCATGAGCTTAAAGGATTTTTAATTACTAATGCTACTGAAAAAATATTCTGCCAGACAACAATTAATGTGGTATGAATAGAGATGTTGTGGATGGAATGTTTCTGTCCCTCCTAAATTCATACCTTGAAAGCCTAACTCCCAATGTTGATGGTATTCAGAGGCCTGGCTTTGGGTGATGATTAGGTCATGAGGGTGGAGCCCTCATGAATGGGATTAGCGCCTTCATAAAAGAGACCCGAGGGAGCTCTCTCGTTCTCTTCCCACCATGTGAGTACAAAAGGGGAAGGCAGCAGTCTGCAAGATGGTAGAGAGCCCTCATTAGAACCCAAGCATGCTAGAGCTCTGATCTCAGTCTTCCAGCATCCAGAACTTGGAGAAAACAATTTCTATTGTTTGTGAGCCACCTTGTCTATGATACCTTTTTAGAGTAGCTGAAACTGACTAAGACAGGGATGAGCTGCAACCGCCTCACTTTTCTTTTAGGGTGGCCCCTCATGGAATGAGTTTGCATCTAGATATTTGTTGCTATGCCTCAACAAGCACAAGCATAAATATCTTTCTATAAACTCGTCATGGTCTCAAAACAGGGTTCAATGTGACAAAACTAAATTGTCCTTGGCAACTTGTGCTGGTTTCCACTTTGTCCATAGTAACTCACACTATGACACCCCATTTTGGCCAGTTCTTCAAAAACACATATTTAAAGATAACTTATCCTACAAGATTAACTAAGAGGCTGTACTTCAGGAAGGATGGTGATTGTAGGTTTTTCTTCTTTTTTTTTTTTTTTTTTT